GACCACAGGAAGCAATACAGCAGCTACTCTACACTGAGCTACATTCCATAGCTCAGCTCTGTCTACTACCTCTAATAGAACTAGGCATTTCATTGTTTTATACAGCCATCGCCTATCTCAATTTGCCTCGCTTTCTTTTTTAAAAGATTTATTTATTTATATATTTATATGTATATAAGTGCTCTATTTGTATGCCTGAATGACATAAGGGGCCATCAAGCAGAAGATCCCATTGTGGATGGCTGTGAGCCACCATGTGTTCCTGGGAATTGAACCCAGGACCTCCAGAAGAGCAGCCAGTGATCTTATCCACTGAGCCATCTCTCCAGGCTCAGTTTGCCTGTTTAATCATTGTTCTTTCTTAAAGATTTTTATTATTTTTAATTATATGTGTGTTGTGTGTCTGTGAATGGTATCACCCAGAGGCCAGAGGTCCTCTGGGAGCTGGAGTCAAAGGCAGCTACAAGCTGTTTGATGAGGGCATTGGGGCCAAATTCCAGTCCTCTTTGAGAGTAGCAAGCTCTCTAAACTGATGAGCCATCTCTCCAGACCCTCACCATTTTCTTCCCCTTTCTTTTTTCTTTACCATTGTTCCTTATTTCATTTTTTTCTGTGTTCAATTTTCTAAACTGTACAAAGCCCTGGGTTCAACTTTCAGCCAACATTTAACTACTTAATAAAAAGTAGCCTTAAATACGTCTTAATTTTATCATATTTTTTAAACATATATTTTAAGCTGTCTGGTAATGGTTCCTAACACACTTGTAAAGAGAAACAAAGAGGGTTGAGAGTGTAACTTAGGGGCAGAATATGTGCTCAGCATGTGTAGGGTGCTGGGTTTGAGAACCAGCACTGTAAAAAATAGGGGGAAGAAGAATGGAGAGAAAACTTCCTGAACAGCAGCTTGCTCGTGGTTCCTGTGAGAAGCCTGGGTTGTAAGAGAATCTTGCAAACACTTAGGTATTTACAGTTGTTTCACTAACAAGATCATTTGGTTTGAGTCTAATATGGAGACAAAGTCCAATATAGTTGACATTTCTAAGTGGTTGGCAAAATACCTTATATTGTCCATACCCTTTGAAGACAAAGCAGATCAAGTTTAAGATAGCAAAGCCTGGAACTGTCTGCAAACCAAACTCCAGTCTAAGAAAGCACTACCATGGTAAAGTCATTCTTAGGAATTTATTCTGCAGCTTCTGAATGCAGAAATAACTTACACATTTTGAAAAGAAATGACCGAATGACTGAACAGGAGGCAGCAAAGCCTCCTATGTATAAGTCTTTTGTTTTGTTTTGTTTTTTGAGAAAGATTTTCTCTGTGTAGCCCTGGCTGTCTGGAATCGCTTTGTAGACCAGGCTGACTTCAAAGTCACAGAGATGTACCTGCCTCTGCCTCCCAGAGTGCTGGAATTACAGGTGTGCGCCTGGCTGTGACTGTCTTGTTTAAATAGGACACAATAAAAAGTATGCTGGAGTACAGACTCATGCTTTAGACTTCTATTGTTCGATACGGCAAGCACAATTGACGATATGTAAATTCAGGAAGATATGTAAATTCAAATGGTTAAGCATATGAAAGCATTCTTTACATGTAGGAGCCACTCCCTGGCACTCAGTAGTCAGTCCTGAGGCGGGTGGTCAGTGCTAGGCTTTGCTGGCACAGAAGCCTTCCATCACGGCAGAGTTCTAGTAGACAGAATGCTCCAGCATGTGAACTGTGTGATTCCCTGCTGCAGCAGTGCTCTGCAGAGCAGCAGTACTACACTCCACATCTTTTACTACCTTCATAACTCTTGAACAAGGTTCTGAACATCGAGCATCTCACTTGTTCATCTTTTTTAAAGTTTGGAATCAGAGAGACAGAGACAGGAACCCTGTCACTGTGCAATAACCAGAGTCTGCAGCCCCCAACTCTTCACTGAAGTTCAATTAAAGCCCCATGTAGCCACCAAAAGTCTCTTAGACTTAGAATGAAAATAAAGTATTTCTCAAGGATCCATTCACTAAATCCAATGAAAGTATCTTCTCTAACATTTTACCTTTTGTTGGGAATGGAGTAGGTGAGCAAGTATTTTGTATAAAGAAGAGCTAAAAATAAATGAATCAACTAAATAAAATAGTTTAGAATTAGAAAAAGTTATAGTTCAATGTTTGTTTTTTTTCCCCCCACATTAATGCTAAACTGAGTGAGAAAGAGCTGGATATAAAGGTTTAATTTGAGTTAAATGGGCCAAGTGTCTTGGTGGTGTCTCCCGTAGGAGAATGACGAAAGAACAGCTACGGGATCTGGTATAATTACCCATACGCATAATCAGATCCTAACATTTTATTTAATGGACAAATCCCCAAACAACTCAATAGCTTTCTGACAAAGCTATGTTCTATGCTTGCAACTCATGAGACAAATGCACACTCAGGAGAATCCCAAGACCCTATGTCACCCTATGCTGGCCCCAGTGGGATGACCAGGATAAATGAGTCCTCTGTTCAAGCAAGGAAATCTTTGTTTCTACACTTTTAAAAAGCATAGTCCACTTTTCTCAAGAGTATCTCCATGTTACAAATTCTCCTGATGATTAAGATCTATTGATCTATGATACTGTAATGAGTTAAACTTACACAAAACTGACAATTTTATGTTAATTTACAGTCTAGATAGCTAAGTTTTCACATAATAAAACCAGAGAATAGTTTGTTTGCTTATCAATCTCCCATTATTTGTTCTGCACATATACTTGAGAATCACTTCCCAGATAACTCACACTCAGATAAGTTTATTGGTTCGGTTATAAAGACAGAGTCTCAATATGTAGCTTTGGCTGGCCTGTGTGGATCAGGTTGGCTTTGAATAGAGACCCAACCCCTCTGCCTCCTGAGTGCTAGGAATAAATGTGTGCTCTCCGGCATGCATGGTAGAAGTCAGTTTTACAGGACTCTAACTTGACAGACTCAGGCTTAGATTACATGGTAACCAGGTGCATCAGGCTCTTGATTTTCCCTAATGACTAGGAGGAGCAATACAGAACTGTCAAAACAGGAAAAAGCAGAATTAATCTGAGTTTATCTCAAAAATTTAGTTAAGATGGCTCAGTGGTTAAGAGCACTGGCTTCTCTTCTGGAAGACTTGGGTGCAATTCCCAGCACCTACTTCGCAACTTGAAACTGTCTGTAACTTCGGTGCCAAGGGATATAACACCCTCATACAGACATACATGCAGGCAGAACACCAATGTACATAAAAATAAAATTATTTAAAAAATTTATTAAGTTCTTTTGAAGACTTTTCCCTCAGTGTAAATTTAACATAACCAGCCATTTGCAACATTCCATTCTTCCTAGTTCACATAACTCCTGAACTTACAGGTATTAAACATGCCTTTTTTGTTTGATATTTGAGACAGGAGCTTATAGCATAGGCTTCCCATCCTCTAGAGTGCTGGGATTGTGAGTGTATGCTACCACTCCTGCCTCAAAAGGTGTCTCTAAAATGTCTGTAGGGTTTAAAATCTGAGAGGTTAATTACTTGATAAATAGTTCTTTTTAGGATAGATTCTATTTTACTTAGATACTTAAATATAAGCAAGAAATGCTGGGTGGCAGTGGTACATGTCTTTAATCCCAGCACTAGGGGAGGCAGAAGCAGGTGGATCTCTGTGAGTTCACAGCCAGAGTGGTCTACAAAGCCGAGTCCAGGACAGCGAAGGCTTTCAGCTTTCTAAATCATCACTCTGTTTTGATATCTCTACTGGGTTAACACCACACTGCCCCTCTGTCCTCAATCGCGCTTCTAACACCCATACTACCCAATGTACACTGTGTGTGTTGCTGGAGAACTAACCCAAAGCCTATGAATGCTAAGTATTCTACACTAAGCTATAGCCTCATCCTTTAACCATACTTTTTTGTCCAGATGGTCCCATACTTAATGATAATCTGACTTAAGATTTTTTGCCGACAAAATGTTGTCAAAATACTATGTACTGAGAAACCCCATAGTTTGGACTTTACACTTCCTTGGGGCAAGAATAACACAGTGGGACACTCAGTGCTGTACGGCAACAACCAGTCACAGCTCCCACTCCCATGTGACCGTCATAGGGAACAACCAAAACTCTGCAGTACACTGTGTTGCTAAGCTATGATATTTGGTAGCGTAAGTATTTTAACAAACTTTCACCTCAAGACAGCTTTATCAGCTGTAATTCCACTGTGAGGTGAGGCACATCTATTCTCTACTTTCTTGAAAGGGCTACTCTGAGCTTTGCCAACTGAATTCAATCACTATTAGAATCTGTAGAAATGCCTGATGAGACCTTGGGCCAGGAACTCTGCAGCTAAATGTATGTCAGACACCTTTGAATCTTGCAACTACCTGTGTATCCCACACAGGTTGGTTACTATCATTGAAGCACAGCAGCTTTTGGCACAGTGTTGGTACCTACTAGACACTCTGTTAAACTATTAGGCTGAAAAGTGTCACCACTCATGGCAGAGCACCTTCTCTGTGGAAAGCATGAGTATCTGCTTCCATTTTGTGTCAGCCAGACTGAGGTCTGTTGCTCAGGGACACGAGCAGACAAGAATTCAGTGCTACAGACAAAACAAAGGATGAAATATTTCACAACAGAAACAAATATAATGCTAACAATTGGGCTAGACAGTATGGTTAACTAACATAACCTGTTAGTTACTTGCAAAGGTCTTTTTTGGGCTGGTGAGATGCGCAGTGGGTGAAGGGCCTTGCTACTGAGACTGATAACCTGAGCTCCATACCTGGAACACACATGGTGTAAGGAGAGAACTCCTGCAAGCTGTCCTCTGCCCTCCACAAATGGGCAACGTGTGTACACGCACACACATACAGTCATATTCACAGATTAATACATAAAAAGGGTTTGTGTTTTACCAAGAGTTTAGGCCATATTTTGTATAATTTGAAACTCCAAAATCCAACGTCCTGAAACAAAAGTCACTCTGTTAAATGTAAATAGTATACTTACAGCTTGCATTTCTATACAGAAGAAATGGTTCATGGAGCTGAAATTCCAAATCTTTATTCACTGGTTCAACCAGATTATGCATGTTTAGTCGGTTGACAATGGTAAAACCATGGTAAGGCGAAGCTGACCTTAGATTTAAAGAAAGGGAACACCTTTTAATTTGCAGAAATGTTATCTACTACTTTATTCTCATTAAAAAGAAACCCTTACATTACCACATCACATGACACGATTAATATTTGAAAGCCATAAACAAAAATACAAGGCTGGGGATATAGCTCAGAGGTAGAGTTAGAGTGTTTGCCTAGCATGAGCAAAGTCCTGGGTTTAAGCCTCAACTCTTAGGGAAAAAAAAAAAAGTCACCCATTTCCCTCTTCTGCTTCTATGTCTTCATACGGATTCATTTCCTTACCGTAAAAGCCGAAAGCACCAAGGTTCCTACCCTACCTCATCTCCTGTGTTGTTCAGGTGTGCTTCTATCTAATGCCCTCTGTCTGAATTACTGCAACCAAATCAGCACCATCTCATCTCCACCAAGTATTTGCTCAGATGCCACCTTCTCACCTCAATATCTACCTACTGTTTCTCTAATTAACCTCTTTCTCCCACTACTAGAATGTAAGCTCTGTGAAATTGAGGATTTTTGCCTTTTCTTTTTCTTCATACATGTATGCCAAGATTGATGTAAGCATATAATAAATAAATGCTGGAAGAAATAACATTTTTTTCCTTTTTGTTTCTCGAGACAGAGCTCTATATGCCTGTGCCTGCCTCCCAAGTGCTGGGATTAAAGGTGTACACCACCACCACCAGGCTGTGTGCACCATTCTTTTCTTTTTTATTATGGTACAAGTCTATCCATGACTGTCACTTATTACAGCAATTAAGTTTTCATTAACTAGGTCCCTGTGTGTTTTTCTTGAGTTAGATGGAATTGACGTCTATAGTAAGAATGCTCTTAGTTTCCTTACCAAGGGGATTCAACACACAATCCTCTGAACACTCCTCAACCTACACTTCATAGTTCCATTTGTTTCTGTGACATCATGGGAAGTAAATGAAATTCTATTCTACAGATTAAGAAACAAGCTTAGCACAATTAAAGCTCATGCCCAAAGTCACACAAATTAAAAACTCTGAATGCAGTTTTCTTTTTTGATTCCTGCAAAGTAATCATATGACATTCTAGTCTACTTTTATCCAAGTCATATAAATGTTCTTAAGTTCCCAAACAGAGGCTCTTAAGCCTCCCTTTCTTAGAACCAACACTAGATAAGTCTATGAATTTTATTAAATAAAGTTAGGATACCAAATTTCACATTTCCTACCACTAACAGATCTGTCTTATTCTTTAACAATTAGACCTGTGACTGTCCCCACATTTACAGACACTACTATTCTAATAATAGCGAGGGTTCTTAGAGATCATATTGCTAATGAAGGGGTCAGAGTTAGACCTTTTTTTAGAGTAGGAAATCAAGCAGAAAACAGTGTCAAAGAAAAAAGCTTGGCATATAAACATCAAAATACTTTCATTTAAAGGAAAAGATGAGCTCTGCACTAACACTTAGAATAGCATTAAATAGCACTAAATTAGTGGAAGAAGGCTGTCCAAAAAACAATACAAAAAGAACCAGAAATCTTGTTACCACTGTAAGTTCTAGAAAACAAGGGCAGGGGCTTGCCTCTAAGTACAGGGCCTACAGGCACCTAGGAACACAAGTGTCCTATGACTGTCAGAAAGTGTGGGCTACCCTTCAGGCCCCTAGGTTGCCAAACAAGGTAAAGTTGTAAACACTGCAAAATTTCAGAGAAGCTTAAAGTAAAACACATATGAATTCTGAATAACCCAGAACTTTGGGAAAGAAGTGGAAAAAAGAACCAGTCACAGAAGACAAATTGTCATTAGAAACTGTAGACCAGTAAGACTGATGTCTCAGGTACTTTACAGTTAGTGTATTGTACTGATTTACAAACATTCTTTTTTTCTTTTTTCTTTTTTGAGATAGGGTTTCTCTGTGTAGCCTTGGCTGTCCTGGACTTGCTTTGAAGACTAGGCTCGCCTTGAACTCACAGAGATCCTCCTGTCTCTGCCTCCCCAAGTGCTGGGACTATAGGCCTGTGCCACTATGCCCAGCCTTCACAGACATTCATATGTATGTATTCTTTTACCATGGGATAGTTGGGCATGCATATCTTTGGGATGCATTAATTAGAAAAGGCTTTCTATTCTGAGACAATTTTGCCAGGCTGTGAGAAGAGAAGCATCTAGGACTGCACAGCTTGAATGGATGAAACTGGAAGATCAACAGGAAGGTTTCAAAGACAAGTATGCAATAGAAATGGACCATATTACACTGCTCACTATTCAAGTGAAATAGAAACAGGCTTAAAAAACTCACCTGCGATATACAAATAGGGTCCCTTCTATATCAGTCTTCTCCTGTAACAGACAATAATTCTATTAGTTTTCCACTAATAATACAAAGCCAAATGGTGTCAGTGGAGAATAAATGCTTTAAGGCCAACTTGTTTTATTTATTGTGAAATCAATTGTGTTTGTGCGTGTTGTATGAATGCATACAGGGGTTTGTATTTAACTGTGTAGAGGCCAGCAGGCAACATCAGGTGACATTCCCTCTTCTTTTGAATTAGGGGGTCTCACCGGCCAGAAGCAGGGTGATTAAGCTAGGCTTGCTGGTCAGTGAGCCCCAGTGCTGTATCATAAGTGCAGGCAACTACATCCAGCTTTTTATGTGGGGCACCTCAGGTTTTCATGCTTGGGCCCCTTCATCCACTGAGCTATCTCCTACGCCTCCAAATTAATCACTTTTTTTTTTTTTTTTTTTTTTTTTTTTGGGGAAAGGGTTTTTGAGACAGGGTTTCTGTGTAGCCTTGGCTGTCCTGGACTCACTTTGTTGATCAGGCTGGCCTTGAACTCATGGCCATCCACTTGCCTTGCTGCTCATAGTGCTGGGATTAAAGGTGTGCACAACCATACCCAGCTCAAATGAATGACTTCTCAACAGGTAAAGCAAGTGACTTAAAACAAAACGACAACAAAAACTGTGTATCCATTTAATCCTATAGGTGTTTGGGCAAGTGTGTATGCAATGTCCAATCAACAATGTCTACGTCTGTAGCGCTTTTTTATTTTAACCAGTAAGGAAAATTAAGACCAAAACCCCCAAAGCAACAATAAAAGACCCACACACACAAAATTAGCTGTATTTTTTATTTTTAGTATTAAGTTTTTTTTCTTTAATTAAGAAAATGTGCATGTATGTTTTGTCAGCACTTAAGTCTGTGTAACGTATGTGTGACTGGAGCTCATTGAGGGCAGCAAAGGGCATTGGATCCTTTGGAATTGTTGTTTACAGATGGATATGAGCCATCATGTGGCTGCTGAAAATTGAACCAGGACCTCTGGAAGAGCAGCAAGTTAGCTGCTACTCAGCTGTCTTTCTAGATCCAGCTTTAATTTTGTAAAAGTTAAACCTTTCAACTAGGTATCTTAATGTTCCAGTCAAGGTATTGTGTATTGCAACTTAAAACAAAACAACAAACAAACTTTAACAGTCTATCAAAGTTTACAGAAAAAGAATGGAAACTTTCTTCCTTAAACTGATACTAGGATTTTGAACTCAGGGCCTGGGGCTTCTGATGCACAGCTGTGCCCCACTAAGCTAAACCCACATCCCTCAGGAAATTTTCTTGTAAGATACTTTGTTTCATCTCCGAAGAATTTAGGAATATTCTCATGAGTAACAAATTCTGTGGTTACCAGACACAAGTTATTATTTTTAGAACTTTGTTAGGAATCATGCTGAGAAACCATTCTGTGCCTTAGGAAAACTCGGCAAGTTTTTAAAATAAACACCTGAAAATTTGATTAAAAAATTGTAACTTGGGTTGGTAATACAGCCCAGCGGTAGAGGTTCAACGCCTGCCTAGCACCATGATGTCCTGGGTTTGATTTTCTGCACTGCAAGAAATAAAACCATGAGTATTCTTTCATTTGCTGTAACAGAGTATAGTCGGGTTTTAAGCACAAGTGTAGTGCTCCGACTTAAAAAAAAACAAAAACGAAAAAAGCATGAAGCTTTTTTATAGCTGAATGAATTATGAAGAGTCGATCAGAAGAAAATGAAAATCATGTAAGCAAAAACAATTACAGGTGCTTCAAATTGAGGCTAACCAGAGTCGTGATTAGGCAATGTAACTTTTGGAACTCCATGCCACTCACAAAATCTTCCAAAAAGAACTCAGATGTGGGCCAAAAAAGGTCATAACACCGGTCTCTATTCCCTGCAAACGGTCTCCAAAGGAATACAATTCTCACTGTAGTAGCCTTGTCTCTAACTTCCTTGAAATTTTTCCCAAACTCCGGAGATAGAGAGTAGTTCGATTAAAGCTGGACTAACTCTTGAAACTCATTTTAAAGCTTCAAATCTAAATAATCTCATTTAGGTCGACTGCGGGAGAGGGGGTGGATTTGTAATTAAGTACGTGTAATTTACCTAATAGTCCTCAAAGTCTCAAACACAGGTTTTCAGTCACTTAAAAAAATTAACTTGTTTCATATCCTGCCAATGCAACCTGTAAAGAAGGTAAATCACTCAAGTCCCCAGAACCGACCCCAAAGGACTGATCCTTCCTCATTCCTCCCCTCCCTCTGATTTCCCTGCTGTGTCTCTAGTCTACTTCTTCTGCTTCTTTCCTCCAATCCCGTTCACCCCCGTCACCCCTTTGGCTCTGGCCCAGGCTTTACAAGAGATTCTGGCCTTGCCTTAGCGGTCCTAGTCTCCTGCTTCACTTCCCCCACCCCCAATCCTAAGCTGCCTGCGCGGCCCCTTTAAGAGGCGGCAGCGGCCAGGCTGGCATCTGCCGTGGCTGGGCCTCACTCACCCACTGGTTGGCTTTGGGGCAGAAAGTGTACAGAGCGACCTGGCCCGTGAGGTCTGCGATGCTGGTGATATAGGGGTCGTGTTGTTTCAAGGCCGCCAGACTCATCTCTTGCCCAGCTCGACTCAACGACTCCATCTTGGATCCCGGAGCCGAGCCCCTCTGGCGGGGGCGGACTCGCGAACAGGAAAGTGCCATCCAGGCAAAGTTCCCCCAGCTCAGTCAGACTTCCACTTCCGCCAATCCGCCGGGCCTTGCGGAGGGTGGTACTTCAGCTATACTGCTCCGCCGCTCGCTCGCCCTGGGAGCCTGGTTCCGGTCTCCTTAGGGCCGCATCTGCCGGAAGGAGCTGGCGTCCGTACCTGCGCGGCGGAGGGAGGCGAGGAGTTAGCTAGTTAGTACGGATCCTGTCCTCCGGCAGGATCTGAGCCCCGTCCTCGAGCGCTCCGGCTCCTGCCAGTGGGGCCCGACCCCAGCATGGTACCCGTGTCGTGTTCCGGCGCAGAATCTAAATGCTGCTCTGGAAAAAAGGTCTCCTTGGACCGTTCAGAAAACTCAGAACAGGCGATTGCTACCTCTGACCTCAGACTGCAGCTTTACTGTTAACACTTGGGTGATTTTTTTGAAAGGAATGTTTCAAAGTAGCCAAGCTGGCCTGCTTAGAACTAACTACACAGTACTCGGTCTGTCCTTCGCTCGACTTTTTCCTCATCTGGGTTCCAGATATTTCCTTTGTTCTATAAAGACTCCCATTATTTAAAATGATAAGTATATCACTTAAAAGAAAAAGCAAACATTTATTGGATATCTTAAGGGGTCAGGTACTACTCCAAAGTAAAACAAAATGGCCAGCCTATTTTCACCGAGTTGCTTTACAAGCCAACGTTTTTCTTTTTTTCTTTTTCTTTTTTTGAAGACACCTCGGCGCAAATGAACATTTTTGACAGAACAAACTACACTTTCATCAAAATACCACAACACATTTGTATCGTTTATGGTTTTGCATCCCAAGATCATTTACCAATGGAAGGACAAACTTTACATTCTTTACAGAATCACGTGTGAAGCAAGTACAAAAGCAGGGAAAGCAACCTGTTACTCATTCACCCTTACCCCGTGTACACATTTATTGAACTTAGTAGTTCCCAGTTCCGAGCTTCCAGCTCTATTTTGGCTCTGGAGAAACTGAAAGCAAACAAATAACCCCACGCTGGACGATCCTCTTTGACTTCCAGAGGGCGGAGCTCTTAATTCCAGCTGAGCCAGAAAAGGGAGTGAAGAGACTCTAACCAGTTCAGAATGGTGAGCATGGCTCCGTCAGGCCTCCCCCTTCTCCCCGATTCCCTCTGCCTTGCTAAAACAAAACAAAACAACAACAACAACAAAAACCCCATCATTAGATTACATCTCTAAAGCTATCTATTCCCTATTTTGCCACTTCTTCCTCCTGAGGTTGACTACCAAGGTCCAGCTATCAAAATATTGAAGTCCAGCAACCAAAAGCCTCCTTTGGCTCACCTAACTAACATGTTCTACTAAAATTAAACCTCTCATCCTAACACGGGGTTTGCCATTTTACCTTTATAACTGTCGTTTACCCATGGGCCATGTCTGTCTCCTCTTTATCCAGAGAGTCAAATACTACCTATCTCCCTTACTCCTTTCCTCCCCTCCTTTTTTTCCCCGAACCTTGCCTTCTTCTGTCTCTGGTCTTTGTCTGTTATCCCTGCCCTCTGTCCCTCTGGGGCAAATAAATCTTCTTTGTGCTGAGAACATGGTCTTGGGATGTTTTGAGCTGACTTTTGAGGTTTACTACAGGTAGGACGGCTTCAAAGGAGGAAGGGAGGTTTGAACTTGTGCTTTGGATGAGTAGGTGTTCCTCGGGAAAGTAAAGTAAGGGCGGAGGCTTGCTTCACAGCCCAGTGGTGAGGTGGGAACCTACCATTTAACCGATGATTTAATTCAGACTCAAGGGGAAAAAAACAGTTGCTCAAAGTTTCCCAGTAGTCAGGGGGATTCTGGTATCAGAATCTTGGGATCCTTTGCTCCACATCTGGGCTGCCTTTCACTTGCTGGTGGAAGGCAGGAGCCTCATTACTTTCTGTACCGTCAGTTCCCTCTGTATGCTAATTTCGATGTTATTTAAACATTTCATTTATGGATGTGTATGTGTGCTGGTATAAGCTCATGCCAACATGTGTGTGCAAGGGCACCCATACAGGCCACAAGAGGGGCTGAGCCCTTTGGAGCTGATAAGCATTGCGAGCCTCTGGACCTGGGTTCTGGGATCTGGACTCAGTTCCTCGCGGTTGAGCTGTTGTGAGGTACCCATGCTCAGACATGGGTCCAAGCCAATAAAAGGTCTTTATTAGCTGGCTGACAACTACACCGGCATTTAGGATCCCAGGGTACCACTGAGTCTTTCTCAGGGTGAGCTTTTATTTACAAACAACATGTTCTGGATTGATATACTTCAGTTAACAAGAACAGCCAGCCAGAAGCGGAACTACAGAAGATAAGTAGCAGGGTTAATACATCTTGAGTCTTTCCCAGAACTATCTGGACTTTAATGAATTAGACCTTTGTTTTAGTTTTGGCAGGTGTTGCTGTCTATGTGCTGAGTTACAGCCTGAATAGTACTTCCATCATGGAGTCAGTTGTGCTAAGGTCTGGGGGTCTGCTAAAGTCTGGTGCTCTATTACAGAGCAGCAAGTACTCTTAACAGTGTAGCCATTTCTCCATCCCTTTTAAATTAGGTGCTAAACCCAGAGACACACCTGATATTGCCTTTAGGTTTCTTTTCCTTATGTAGATTTTTTTCTAAAATAATCCAAGATATTATGGGACTATCCCCCCATGCACAATTGAACTGTTGCTGTCTTAAAATCAGAGCAGTTGTGATCACCTATGAGACTGTCACAAGACTGGGGTCACTAAACACTCCCTTAGAGGGAAGGGAGGTCACAAGAGACCACCTGGGAGGCCTGGCAAAATCCCAAGGGAGGAACTCTTGGATAATTCCTCATCCATGCACCTGAAAGTAAGCAAATTAGACCTGGGGGGTGGGGACCACCATTTCTTTAGTCTGTTGTTTGTTCACTGTCTGGAGTAAACAGATGCTTATTCTTGACTCTCCGAGAAAATGCAACACCTTTTAATCCACTATTTTCGAGTAAGCAAGGCTAGACCAAACTTGTACAGGAATTTTAATTCAGCAACATGGCTGCTCTGGCAAAGGATTGCATCTAAAGACCTTCTAGGTCTATGTGATCCGGTTGGAATGCAGACATACCCTGGATCAAAGTGTGATCTGGCTGGGATACAGACATACCCTTAGTATACACCTTTAATCTCAAACAATGGAGGTAAGGTTGGTTTATAGAAGGAAGCAGCCATGTTTGAAAGTGATATCTAATTGAGGGGCAGACAAAGTGACAAAGACTTGACAGAATGAGCTGGTGATAGGATATGCCCAACTTTCGTAAGAACATACAGGAAAGAGAGACAGAGAGACAGAGACAGACAGAGACAGTTTTAAGTTTTACCTGGCCATTTTTACAGAGACAGATTGTAGAGTGAACACACTAGACACAAGTGAAGATAGGCAAGCCATAAAATGAGAAGGAGACAGAAAATTAGAACAGATTCTCAAAGTTAGTGTGAGGCCAAGCAGAGCAATTCAGTCAGAAGTGAGAGAAGCCAGTTTGAATCAATCAGCTTGGAGAGGAGTTTTGAGACAAGAACAACTGAGTTGAACCAGCCATCCTGAGTTCATAAAGGTTGAGCTTATTCAGCAGTAAGGTGAATACAATTACATCAGGCAAATAAAAGGTACATTTACACAAACTTTCATATTTTGGAATAGACAAAATGCTTTGTTTTTGAGATAAGGTCTTGCTGTGTGGCCCCAGCTAGCCTGAAACTCACCAGTTAGGCTAAGCTGGCTGGTGGGTGAGCCCTAGAGAGTGGGCTTAATATGCCTCCCGAGAGCCGAGAAAACAGATGTACCACCACACCTCACATTTTTACATGAGCTCTGGGGTTAGGATGGAGGTCATTATGAGTGTGGATTTTTATTGAGATACCTCTTCAGCCCTGTTATTATTTTTTTTAATGATTTATTTATTTATTTAATGTGCATTGGGGTGAGGGTGTCAGACAGCCTGGAACTGGAGTTATAGAGAGTTATGAACTGCCACGTGGGTGCTGGAGTTGAACCCTGGCCCTTTGGAAGAGCAGACAGTGTTCTTAACCACTGAGCCATCTCTCCAGCCCTTCAGCCCTGTTATTATTGTTATTATTATTTTGAGGCTTGCCTGGTCTTGAACATTATATATATATATGTATGCATCTCGGATTGATCTCAAATTTGTGGTCCTCCTGTCTCAGCCTCCTGAATGATGAGATTGAGATTACAAGTTTGTGCTTCCATACATGGATTCACTGATTTAAAAACTAAATAAAATTAATTTTTAAAAACCCTAAAAATGCAGTCAAACCCCCCCCCCATGCTTAGCTGTTTTGTGGTAAAGCATGAAACTTGACTGCATATGTTCAGTTTTAAGTGTCAAGATATTTTGCCACAGTAACCGGAAATGAAATTAGGACATTGCCATTAAAAATTATAGGGTCAAGGTGAGTGTAGTGGCGTGCAATTGTAGTTCCAGCCACTTAGAATTCTGAGACAATGCCATGTATGGTGGCACACACCTTTAATCCCAGCATTTGAGAGGCAGAGGCAGGAAGATCTTTGTGAATTTGAGCACCTGGTCTGCATAAGGTCTAATAGGATCTAATGCTCAGAGCATACGAGTTGAGCACTGTCTTTTAGTTCCAAATATAACATCTGTATAACTTTGTTGATGAATTATAGCTTTCTCAGTTTCCCAGTGTAAAATCCAGAGACCTTGCCGTACGGCTTGGGGGATACTGCTTTGTTTGATGTGCTTGTTCACAGGAGCATATGCATACCTTCCCTCCCTCCCCCAGCCCCTCGCTTGCCCTCTGTCTACCTCTATCTTTTCTCTCTTGCTGTTTTTCTTTCTGTGTTTTCCTCTCTGTGTGCCCCCAGATGTGTTCATGTTGTGGCAGGTGGATATGCATGCATGTGCGCGTGGGGGCCAGACGTAGAAGTCAGATGTCCTCCTCCGTTGCTCACTCTCTTATTTTTTGAGACAGGGTCTCTTAG